GTATCCTAAAACAAGTCTTAGTAAGTCTAGTGGTTTACATAAATAGGTTATCAAACTTGAGCAGAATAATTGTACTTCAAGCTCATCTGACCTAAACTTGTGTACTTATTTTCTGTCTAATTAAAATACTTAATTTCTATCTCATAAAAATACTCAAAATTTACTTTTATCTTGCTGTGATTCAAATGACACCACCAACAAAACATGCCTGCATCATAATCAATTAACCAGTACTTACTTGAGTTTAAATCAAGATAACAATGCATCATATGCACTTCAAGTCAGTAGTAACAAAGAGAACAAGTTGTCTCTCTGGCATAATAGATTAGGCTATCCACATACTGATGCCCTTCAAAAAATCCTAACTCATCTTCATAAAATCTCCACTGAATTAGTTACAACCGAGTATCTGTCCTCTTTACCTTTTTGTGATGCCCACAAATTAAGCAAGCTGCACAGAAACCATTTTCCTTTATCTCAATCTAGAGCAACAAAACCTTTAGAGATTGTTCATAGTGATGTTTGGGGACCAACCCCAATTATCTCCTTAGAAGGTTATAGGTATTACGTTCACTTCATTGATGACTATAGTCTATTCACATGGTTGTTTCCTTTAAGAACAAAAGCAAAAGTTCAATCTATTTTCATTGAGTTACATCACCTTGTTGAAGACAATTCAATTACAAGCTCAAAGGCTTGTAATTTGATCAAGAAGGAGAATTTAAGGGACAAATTTCTTATCTTACAACCGCAGACATACAATTTAGACACTCTTGTGCATATGTCCATCAATAAAATTGGAGAAGTGAGAGAAAACACAGACACATTGTTGAAACTAGTCTTACACTATTAGACATGCATCCATGCCTTTGCATTTTTGGTGGCTTGCATTCGACACAGCTATAATAGCTCTTTCTAACTAGTATACTTGGGAAATATAATATGATAAAAAAAATACATATGCATATAAATGAAAAATAATGGGCCCGAAAATTTTCTTTACTTTATATATTAAATTCTTTACATAACAAAAGTATCATATACATTAGCTTAAAAAACAGTGGACAGTAGTGCCATTTCTCTCCGCTTCTCGACATCCATCCGACCGCTTCTCACTTATTCCCTGCAAAAACATTTAGAAACAACGGGGTGAGCACTAGTTACTCAGTAAGTAAATCCGTTACATTATTCTTCTATCTCCGTTGCTCATATTTTGAATTTCTTTCCTTACATCACACTTTTGCTTCTTCTCAGTTCTTTCTTTGTCTTTCTCTATTCTTTCGCTATTTCTAATTCTTACTGTTCTTTCTTTCTAGTTCTCTCTGTTCTTTCTACCCATGATAGTAATCATGGTATCATGCAAATGCACAAATGCGTAGGAATGCATTTTCTTTCTACTTTTTTGTTGTTTATTCTGTTTTCTTTCTTTCTACTTCTCTTCTTTCTTTCTGTTCTATTCTTTCTTTCTTCTTTTCTATTCTTTCTTTCTTTTCTTTTCTTTTTCTCTTCTTTTCTTTTCTTTTCTTTTCTATTCTTTCTTATTCTTTGCCGATCGGACTTAGTTGCTACATGGATTAGGAACCCTAGCTGTGTGAGTGAGTGCAGTCCTCATCTACATGCACTCTTACGGACTGTACGAATTCTTTTTCTTCTTAGGCCACTCATTAAAAGCGGCGTGCATATAGGTATATTCTTTTGGGTACAGCCCTCATCCACATGCACTCTTACAGGCCGTACAAGCTCTTCTTCTTATTCTTAGGCTGCTCACTGAAGGCGGCGTGCATGTGAGAATATTCTTCTTCTTGTCACTCACGGGTCCCCCATCGCAACAACCTTCAATTTCTTTTATTTAGCACTTTTCTTTCTTTCTTTTTGTTCTTTAGTGCTTTTCTTTCTTTCTCTTTGTTCTTTAGTGCTTTTCTTTCTTTCTCTTTGTTCTTTAGTGTGCTTGTATGCATTTATGCATGTAGATGGATTCTTCTTATTATTCTTTCTCAATTCTTAATTAAATGCAAAGATGCAATATGGCATGTAAACATGTCATTCTCTACTTTCTCTACCATCTGCAAACTCATTTCAAATTATTATATATCATAACCATACATGCACTTCACTTTGGAATTTCATCAAACAAGTGGTATGCACAAATGAGCACTAGATTAGCTACACTTCTATCTCTTTTTCTAGCAACCAAAATTAGAACACAATTCTCTACAACTAACCTCAAACCTGGCCAGAAAATTCACACTTCAAAATTCTATTTCAACTTCTTCGTAATTTCTTCAAACGTCCACCAATTCATATCATACTAAACACTACTTCTCATGGTGGAGTTCAACCCAACACTCAACACCCATTTCATCATCAATTCTCAATACTCAAGCATATAGATACATATAAGGAAATTCTCTACTCAAGTATTGCTCAAATATATGGCTAGGGTTGGATTTACTTACCTTGAACTTGAGCACTTCCACTAGAATCTCTTTCTCTTTAGTAGACTTCCTTTTTCTCTAAATCCTAAGCATATAAACTATAAGAACTTAACACTTTAAAAATTAATCTCACATCTATTTATAAGAATTCTTACCTTGAGATGCTTAGGAATGAATATCTACCCAAAATCCAACCAAAAGTCCTCTAAAATACCTTGAAAATTGGTGAAGCAAATTGAGAGAATTGAAGATGAGAGTGGCGTGTGAGGTGTAAAGAGTGATAGGGTTTGTATGCTTGAATCCTTAATATCTCATATTAATATGCATACTTTCCCATTTTGCCCTTACACTTTCTTAGAAATTTCATCTTTATCCTTTAGTCAATTACAAGAATGTCCTCACCTTAATTGCATTCTCCATGAAATTTCCTTACTTTTCACTCCCCACATTTACAACTAATTAGGGGTAGAATGATCATTTTGTCCTTAAGGAAATTTTCTCTAGAATCTTCTCAAGATTTCCAACCAATTCTTTGCCCCGGTGAAAATTCTTCTTCGCCTCGGCGAAGCATTCTAGAGCATACATCGCCGCGGCAAAATTTCTTCTTCGTCGTGGCAAAGCCTACAAATTCTAGAACACGATTTGGGCAAAGAGTTTGTTGTCGCGACGACAAAGATCCTTTGTCGCTGCGAAGTCTACAGTTCCCAATTTTCAGTCTTTCACCTTAACACAAGCAAAATTCAAGGAATTAAAGGCATAAAAGCATAAATAACTTACCTCAATGTGGGTGTTACAACAGCTATTTTTATCATTAACCAAATGCCCACTTCAGTGTTGCAATTTGTCTCACCTTATCAAGTTTTATTTGTAGACCACCAGTCTATTCTTCTCTTAAAGTCTTTGGATGCACATATTTTTTTCCTTACTTTAGAGATTCAAACAAACATAAGCTCAGTTTCCGCTCTTCCAAATGTGCATTTGTTGGTTATAGTTTGATTCACAAAGGTTATAGATGCCTCAATTCTGAAGGAAAAATGTTTGTCACTCCTAATGTTCATTTTAATGAATTAAAATTTCCTTTTTCCAAAGAGTTTGTCTTACTTTTGATAATCCTAAACAGTCATCAGTTTCTCCTATCATGTTCACCTATGAAGATATTGTCTCTCCAGTGTCCAGTTTTCCCTATAGTATTGTGCAACTAGCAACTGATTCCAGCAGCAAAAAAGTCTCCTTGAGCAAGACTTGTTCTGCAAGTGATTCTTCTTCAACTTCTGCTTTGCACATCAGAGTTATTCTGACCATAATCCCTTATCCAACTTTGATTTATGCAACACAGACCTTTATCACAACACTCCTAAAGATAATCCTATTTTCAACAACACCAATTCTCATCAAAAGTCTTTCCCAACAACCATTCATTCTTCTCCTTCTTGATCCTAGTCTACTCCAAATTCGGTTTCAAACTCTTATTCACACCAACTTTCACATCTTCCAAACTCTCAAGCATCTTGTTCGTTTGGAATAGACCTTACCTGCTTCAAACCAGATTCATCAGTTCCAACCACACTTAGGTTATTAGAATAGACATCTCACCTGAAATCTAAAGAGCAATTGCATACTTGTTCACTTGTAGTTGATTTAACATCTTCATAGCTCTCCAATCCCTCTACTCCCAATTTACCTTCCATATCAATCATCACCACAAATACTCATTCATTGACAACCAGATCCAAAGTTGTTGTTCCTAAAACAACAACAGCTCTAATTGTTTCCAAATCACTCCTCATCCAATCTGAACCTAATTCAGTCTCTGAAGCCCTTGATAGTGTTGAGTAGAAAGGTGCTATGTAGGAAGAATTTGATGCTCTACTGAGAAACAGCACATGGACACTTGTCCCAAAAGAAGCTGATATGAATGTGGTTAGTAACAAGTGGGTTTATAGGACCAAATTTCATGTTGATAGATCTCTCCAGAAGTATAAGGCTAGATTAGTTGCAAAAGGGTTTCAACAAACCCCTAGGTTAGACTACTTTGAGACATTCAGCCCTGTCATTAAGCCTTATACAATTAGGATTATTTTCACTCTAGCTATCACTTATAGGTGGGATACATCGCAAATAGATGTTAATATTGTCATTTTGAATAGCACTTTGGGTGAAACAGTCTATATGAGACAACTTGAAGGATTTGAAAATTCTGCATATCTTTCTTATGTTTGTAAACTCAATAAGGCACTCTATGGGTTTAAGCAAGCACCAAGAGCATGGTTTGACAAACTCAAGCAAGCATTACTCAACAAAGGGTTTTGCAATTCAGTTTCAGACTCTATCCTTTTTATTCTCCAAGAATCTTGTCAAGGGCTCTATGTACTCATCTATGTAGATGACATATTGCTCACTGGTTCCAGCAATTCTACAATACTTCAGTTAGTTCAAGACTTGAACAGCCAGTTTGCCTTAAAGACTCTAGGGTATGTTACATACTTCCTTGGCTTAGAAGCCATCGATAAAGGAATTCACTTAAAGTAGACCAAATATATATCGGATCTCCTTGTTAAAACCAAAATGCAAGATGCCCATTCTTGTCCTACCCTTATGACTGTTGGAGCCAAACTCTTTACTTCTGACAGTGGGCTATTTGTAGACCCTAGCCTTTGTAGAAATACCATAGGAGCACTTCAATATTTGACTTTAACAAGGCCAGATATCAGCTTTACCATCAATAAATTGAGCCAATTTCTTCAAGCCCCAACTGAGCTTCAATGGAAAGCATGTAAACAAGTATTAAGGTACCTCAAATGCACTCAATTTAATGGTCTTCAATTCAAACCAACAGCCTCTTTATGTGTTGAAAGTTGTGCTGATGTTGATTGGGGCAGCAACTTAGATGATAGGAGGTCCACAAGTAGTTATTGTGTCTATTTAGGCCTCAACTTGATTCAATGTAGTTCTAGGAAACAAAAAGTGGTTGCTCTTTCATCTATAGAAGCTGAATATAGAGCTTTAGCTCAAACAACTACTAAATTGGCTTGGCTGGAAAGTTTGTTCTCTAAATTAGGTGTAAAATTAAGCTCTTCTCTTATCATTTGGTGTGACAATATTAGTGCTAGAGCCTTAGCAATTAATTTTGTCTTTCATGCTCGCACAAAACATATTGAAATGACACACATTACATAAGAGATCAGGTGTTGGCTAAGAAGGTCATTGTGCAGTATGTTCCTTTCAAACTGCAAATAGTTGATATCCTAACCAAGACACTCTCTATTTCTCAGTTTCAAGAATTAAAGCAAAAACTCACTGTTATTTAAGTCAAGTTACCTTAAATTTCTAAAGTCAAGTTACATGCTCTGTTTGAACTCTTTGTCTAAAGACTAAAAGTAGTCCAGATTTGTGAAGATAAGTGTTGAACAAAGTTGTGTAATGGTGTAATCAGAATTGTGTACAGATGTTATAGATGCAGGTTTTCAACTGAGAGATGCAGTTTCAGAAGGTGTGAAGAATTGTTTTTTCAGAAGTGCATTGAGCAGGATTATGTTTTCAATTGAGAATTGTGTAAACATGCAGTTTCAGAAGGTGTGCAGAATTGTATTTTTAGAAGTGCATTGTGTAGGATTATGTTTTTCAGTTGAGAATTATGTAAAGATGCAGTTTCATAAGTTGTGCAAAATTGTATTTTCAGAAGTACATTGTGCAAGATTAGGTTTTTTAGCATTATGTTTTTTAGAAGTGCATAATGGTGTTATCAGATGGTATGTAGAATTGAGCTTTCAGAAGTGCATAATGCAATTGTGAGAAAGTTATCTACTAAGAGCTATTTTGCATGCATTAATTTTGCAGCTCAACTCAAGATATTATTTGAATCAGATATAAGGGTGATTGATATTTTCAATTCAAGTTGATTTTTAGTTCTTTAATTGATCAGTTTATTGGTTAAATAATTGTACTGATAAATTCTACTAAAGAAGTTTTTACTAAAGAAGTTCTTGAGTAGTTGAAGAAATACTCTACTGAAGAAGAAGTTCTCTATTGAAGAAATTGAAATCTTAAGTCAAATATGCAAGATTGAAGTTTGCTAAGAGCAGTCCAATTTACGGGGGCATATTGGCCACAAATACAAGGAGGAATCTTGAAGCTAAACAACCGCAGCTTAGCTCAAGGGGTAGTGTTGGTCAAAGGTTGAAAAGAGCATTATTCAAAGGTTGAGGGACCAATCTATAATTTCTCCTTCTTCTCTTACAAAGACGATGTCGTTTTCTTTATACTTTGTAATTGTAACTCTCGATTCTCAACTCACTAAGTACAAATATGAACTAATTGTGTAAAGAACAATCTATTGCAATAATAGATTTTTTTTTTCCAAAAGTGTTCTAGATTTTCTTCTTTCTTCCAACTATCTCTCATAATAACAATATCTTCCTCGTGTCTATCTTTCAAAAATTATTTCATTCTTTTTCTTTCCAAATTACCATAAAAGTAGCTAAACATAGCACAGCTAATTGACCTTTATCTATCAATTTTATCACAAGCAAAAGTATTACCAATATTAATTATAAGATGAACTTGTGAAGTTCTCTCTCTCTCTCTCTCTCTAAATGAACTTGGTTTCAAATTGTTCCGGGAAAAAAAGATTAAAACTAGTACGATAATATTCTACAAAACTCAAAATTTCCAACTAAAAGTACATTAAGTTTCACATTATTTTCTTTTGTCATGTGTATTGAGGTCAATATATATCTACCATATAATGTAAATTCATTTTTACTTTGAAGAAAGTTTCTTAGGAGTTGCAAAGTAAATAGAAAGGTAGCAATAAGTTTCACATTAAAAGTTAGTGTGATATGATATATGTCAAAATGTGATAAAGAGGCAAGAGTGGCAGAGACTAAAAGGAAATGCCTGAGTATGCCAAGAGAGAAAGAAAATGAGAAGAATATTTACTGTATTCTATATTATGTTTCTTACATGTATTCTATCCAATTTATACAAAATATGTAAGTTCAAGAATGAAAAATATCTTATAATGAATGCACAATTACACAAAGTCAAGAAATTGATAACTAAAGTAAAGGCACAATCTCAGCATGATCAATCAGGGCATGATTTCAGCACAAGAATCACTCATGTGATTGCTGTATTCCATCACTCCCCCTTAAGCTTGTGGTTTGTATATGTCATAAACTCTAAGCTTGTGAGGCAGATATGATCGTTGTCTACTACATAATAGTTTTGTAAAGCTATCCACTGGTTGTTCTGAAGTACAAATATGTAAAGTCTTGATCATCCCTTGCTAAATTCTCCCTCTGACGAAGTGCAATCAATCTCTTTATGTTTTGTTCTCTCATGAAACATTGAATTTGTTGTAATATCATTTGCAGCTTTGTTATCACAATATAAGTGAACCAGCCTTTTTACTTGTACCTCCAAATCTCCTAGTAGCCCTAGAATCAAGTTGATCTCACATGCAGTTTTGGCCATGAATCTATATTCAACCTCTGTTGATGAAAGTGATATTGTAGATTGTCTCTTTGTTTTCCAAGAGATTAATGTTCCACCAAATTTTATACAGAACCCAGTGAGAGTTGTCATTGGACATGTGGTCCAATTAGAATCGCAGAATGCAGTGATATCTAGACCTCCCTCCTGAGGTAAAAGGAGTCCAAGACCAGGACAACCTTTCAAGTATTTAAGAACCTTCATTTCTACATCCATGTGAGATTGTTTCGGCCCATGCATAAATTGATTGAGAATATAAACTGCATAACTAATGTCTGGTCATGTCATAGTGAGGTAAATGAGACGCCCTACTAGTCTTTGATAATGTGAAGGATCCTCCTGCTAGCGGTGGATTATTTTCTGAAGCCCCATTATCATACTCTTGAGTGGTGATCTTGATATTTTGTTCGACAAGAATAACACTTGGTTTCCATGCTGATAGCCCAGAATCTGATACAAGTTCTAAGATATACTTCTGTTGACTCAGTGAGACACCTATCGAGATCAAGCAATTTCAATTACCATAAAATATTTTGGCTCTCCTAGATCCTTTATTCGGAAATGCTTCTTGAGATGACCCTTCAAGGTCTTGATGGCCTTTTCATTGTTTCTTGTGATTACGATATCGTCGACATAAATGATGAGGGCAATGAATGAGTTACCTTTGCACCAAAAGAATATGGCATAGTCATGTTTGGATTGGACAAAACCTATGCCTGTAAGTGCTTCTGTGAATTTCTCATTCCATTGTCGAGATGCTTGTTTTAGATGATAGAGGGATTTCCGCGGACGATGTATTGTATTATCCCCCTGTCTGCGAAGACTAGGAGGAAGATCCATATATATTTCTTCATGGAGATCACCATGGAGAAAGGCATTATTAACTTCCATTTGATGAAGAGACCAATCTCGAACAGATGCCACTAAAAGGAATGCTCACACAGTAACATGTTTGGTGATAGGTGAAAATGTCTCTTGATAATCAAAACATTCCCATTGAGTGAAGCCCTTTGCGATCAATCTAGCTTTGTAGTGTTCAATTGAACCATGAGCGTGGTGTTTGATTTTGTAGACCCATTTGCAACCAATGGGTTTACGGTGCGGTGGTTGAGGTACCAAGTCCTAGGTATGAATATGAGCTAGAGTAGTAAGTTCATCTACCATAGCTTGTTGCCCGTGAGTGTGTTGGATAGCATTAGAATAACTGGTGGGTTCATGGTCGGCAGAAATCTGGTGGACATAGACTTTGTGTGCAGGAGGGAGACGATCATAACTCACATAGTTTGAGGTGGGATAAGGGGTACCTGATGAAGCCAATATCGTAGGACAAATGTAGTCTGATGTCCAGATCGGTGGTCAAGTCCTATGGGTGGATCATCGTTGAGGAGGTGCTAGAGGTGGTACAGGAGATTCTGAAGGAGGTATTAATGGAGTGTCAGTCGACTAAGGGGGCATTGCTTGTGGAATAGGAGAAATAGGACTATAAGGTGGTAGCAAATCTTCTTATGGTAAAGGAAGGATAAGTTAGGAAATCATCCTCCAAGAATATAGGCGGCTGCTCAGAAGAACTCAAACTATCACCAGTCTTGATAAAAGGAAAATTGAGTATCTGTTTGCCTTTGCAGGGACAGAAGAGAATTAGAAGAGCGGAAGCTAGAAAAGCTCTGATACCGTGTCAGAATGTGACAAAGAGGCAAGAGTGGTAGAGACTAAAAGGAAATGCCAAAGTATGCCAAGAGAGAAAGAAAGCGAGAAGAATATTGTAATTTGTATTATGTTTCTTACATGTATTCTGTCCAATTTATACAAAATATGCAAGTGCAAGAATGGAAAATATCTTATAATGAATGCACAACTACACAAAGTCAGGAAACTGATAACTGGAGTCAAGGCACAATCTCAACGTGATCAATCAAGACATGATTTCAACATAAGAATCACTCTTGTGATTACTGCATTCCCCCACTAGTGGCCTGTCTAATAATCCATTTAGAATTGGATAGTTTTATTTGAGCTCTCAATTTTTTGATGTGAAATATATATATATATATATATATTTGGATAAAATTATGAGTGATGCTATATTTGTCCCCCACATTTTATTTTTCTAGATCCCAATTTTAAATTTGTAAACATGTGTAAATATTGTTTATACAAACCTCACCTATTTCCAAAATTACCAATTCGGTTATATTTTCACTACCCACGTATTATACATTTCTATTCCATATTTTTTTTACATACTTTTCATTTTTTTTTTTTTAATTTTTAGTTAATATCATAAAATGTCTTTTAAAATTTATTCAACCACTGAATTTTTTTATTTTTTTATTATTATTTTTTTTTTGGAGAAGTGCGGATGAAGAAAAAAGTTAAAGAAAAACTAAAAAGGAATATAATAAAGCAAGTATGCCATCTCCATTGTTTGACAACAAAATTAGGGTTTATGATTAAAAGAGAAAATAAAAATTTTAAATTAATAACATAAGGACTTTTCATGGGTGGAGTGTATGTATAACTTTTTTATATATGTCTTATTTAGTAAGTTTTATAAGGGATAAAATTGTGATTAAACAACTAATAAGTGAGATCTAAAGAAATAAGATGTGGAGGCCAATAGCATCACTTTAAAATTATTAGAAGGTAAAAATCCAAAAAAAAAATTATTTTTATCTTAATGCAAAAGTTTAACCCACAAACCAAGCGTGGCCTATGTTCCTTTCCATTTCCTCTTCATTAAACAGCCAAGGAGCAGAAGCTGGAATCGTGATTTTATTTTACCGTGAAGAAAATCATGAGTTACCTTTTTCTGAAATCATGGTTAAAAAACTCTATAAATATATTAAAATCTAAAACTTGAAGTCTTTTATTTCTATTTTAGATTTTGGATAAGAAAATTTTCTTTTCAAGAAAAGAAAAAGCGGGCCGCCAACCTCAAATCAAAACACTTTCCTAGCTTAATTGCCTTTTTTGTTCATCACCCTCCATAACTCAGGCCAAGTTTGGGCCGTTCTTGTCACCGTTGGCCTTCCCTGACCCCACCACCAACATCCCCACCCTCCATTGACCAAAACCCCCAAGGTTCTTGCCTGTCTCCTCGCACCGATCGTCAGCTACTGTTACGTTAGGGTTTCGGATTTCTCAGCCGATTTCGACTGTCAAAACTCCCCCCGCCACCACCCACTAGCATCATCGACACCTACTCTTCAAAAACCCCATGACCCCACCTCCTAGCAACTCGCTGATCGACGTCCATGACAGCATTGTCTGTCGCTGCGTTTGGATTGTTTTTCTTAGTTGTTTTAGCTTCAATTTGACTAGACTTTGGTTTGATTTGGATTTTCGAATTATTGGTGATTGATTGTGGTTGATTTTTTGGGCTGATCTCCCTACTAGCGACTGTCCTTTGCTTCACCTCTGCCAGTGGATTGATGGTTGATTTGCTGGAGTGGATTTGTTTGTTTGGGATTTAGATTCGTAAAGAAAGCTTTCATCAAAAGTAGGGGACTCAACCATTGGTGTTTTGAGCACTAACTATGAATAGAGACAAATTAGAATACCATAGTAGTACCACTTCAATAAATTGAGCTGGTACCGCAGGCCACAAGAAAATTGATAATTTACTAAATTACATGGCACAAGGACTAACTTAAAATGAATGATTAAATTGAAAATAATCATATATCCAAACTAAAGAAAGCATATGATGCTGAAACAACTTTTTTTCGATTTGAGTTTCAGCTGAATTTTTGGCAAAAGAACCGGAAAACAAAGACGAAATTGTAAGTAGATCGAAAAGTTTGAAAACGAAGATTTAAGTGGCTGGGTGGCTTCGTCGCTGGCGACGAGGAGTGGTCGCATGAACCCCGCACGCTGGTAGCTCAGACAATGGCCTAAGTGGTTGGACTTCACGGCTTGACGCCAACGACCTAGGGCGGGTGGCCTTCGCTACCTACTTCACCAGCCACCACTAAATCCACCAAATCCCTCCTACCATCATCCAACACAACCATGGCAACAACCATAACTTCAACAATCACCACCACGAAACAAAAACTATTTGTACAACACGACAAGATAAACAACAATTGTTTTGTTTCAAATTTTTTTTTTAATTACTTGAATTTATTGGATAACAACAGTTGCTTTAGTTCAACTTTGTTTTTCAATTATTTATATTTTTGTTAGAATTAATTATACTTAATGCGATGAAACCTTGCAAATTGACGATGGAAAGAATGGATGGACAGTAAGGGTGTGGAAATCCAATTAATCGAACTAGATTACCCATTTTTCAAACCGAACTGGTTTTTTGGTTCAAGGGGTAATCTGAACTAAAATTGGATCAGATTATCTCTTGAACCGGTTTCTAGCCGAACTGAATTATCAGTTTGATTACCAGTTAACTTATTTGTGAACAGGTTTTTTTTTTTTTAAAAATCCCTAAATCTAATTCTAAAAATAATTTTTTCCAACTCACCAACCGAAGTTTAAATCAATTTTTCCCAACACCCACATTCAAATCCGCCCATAAGGCCATAACTTTCATAACTAAAACAAATCATATTCAAACACATCTAAAACAAATCAAATCAAATAAGAAAAGCCTTCCTCTTCAGCTTCTTAGCCTTTGTAGGGTGCTTGTATAGAGTATGGTGCTCTAATCTCGTTGGGGTGTTATCTCCCGTTGGGGATTCAATAATAGGGCGTTTCACAGGTTCTTTAGACTCAGGTTATTTTTAGAATCGGTTTCCCAGTTTTGTTCGGTTTACAGATTATTTTTCATGACCCTAACGGGGAGAAGGAAAGAATGGCAGATTAATTTTAAGTTTTAAATTTTGAATTATAAAATCAGGATTAAATAGAATTTTTAATAAAATTGACACATGTCAAACGTTTATGGAGTTTATTTTTATTGTTTAAATGAATTAGAAGGGGAGGAGACGGTTGTAGGAAATTCATGAGAATCTTTCATTTATTTATTACAAAGGTACATGATATTCGTTTATTATTGTACCAACGTTTGGTAATTCTTCGTATGGTTATTGATGCTTTTTAGAATAATATCTTGAAAAAAGTAAAATTGAGTTAAATTGGGTTATTTTTATGAAAAAAATAATTATTAATATTTTCAATTGAATAAAATAGAATTAGATTTTGAGAATATTGAAACAAATACATTTTTGAATTTTTAGGATAAGATAGTAAAATATAATAAGGTAAAAATAGTAAACCAAAGGGGTTCATAGTTTCCGAGCTTTACAATTGATATAAATAATTGATGAAAAATTATGATGGATAATGCAACTGATGGGTTTGAGGTGAAGTATTGAAGGGGTCAAAGGGAAGAAAATGGCGAGAAGGGTTTTTGCTGGAAATTCTTTTAAATTCTGGTTACTTTTTAATTCAACATCTCTGTTGATGCATGATTTTGACACCAACTAAACGCACGTCTGAAATACTGAGCTGGCCCAAAAGACATACGTGAATGAGAAAGTGAACATAAAAACAATAGAGAACAGCATTTAAAGTAGTTCGGATACTCAAAGAAGCGAATCCTACGTCCATTGATTTTGCATTAATAATAATGGTCAGGTCGCGTTTAGCAGACTGACTTACAAATTATTACACGAGAGAGAGAATGCTATTTTTCTTTAGAGAGATTAGCTAATCCCTAAAATGAGAGAGGAGCCATCAATTTAAAGTGAGATGAGTTAAGGTTATGATTACTAAATCTGTTACTTGGTAAGATTATCTGTGCAAATCCTTCTTTATGTCTCATTGCCCACCTTCCAAAGTGATTTACGCGATTTGGTGCAGAGATTAGACACGTGGAATCGCTATAGCTCCTGGCTAATCTGACGCGCACCCACTATCCTGACAATAGCATGCCGTCCCTTTCATTGTATGACATGACTGTCTCTGACTGGCTACGGACCTACCTAAGCTCTGACTTTTTATACTGACTGGGTCTTACGTCAGCCCTACTTTTTCAGACATAACAATCTCAACTATGATTTTTCAAGTAAGTTTTTATATTTTCATTAGAACTTTTGGAATATAAATGTATTGGATAAGTAAAATTGAAAAATAAATTAAAGAGATAATTTTACATAGCGGTTTGTACTTTGTATAGAAAAATTTGCATGCATTTATATTTTATAGTAATAGTACTCATTTAATTTATAGAGAAAATTTATAAAAATCCATAATTGAACTTGTAATGTTATCTATACTGGTGGTGAACAAAAATTTTTGACGTACTTATAAATGTAAAACCAGTTTTTTTCTTTTTGTAATTAAAAAATTTTCTGTTGCCAAGACTTGAACCCGAGTCTCTCAGGTGAGAGCTGAGTATCCTAACCATCTGAACTACAACAAACTCCAATATAAAGCCACTCTTGTTAAATACTTCTCTTCTACAAAATAAATATAAGAAATTTTATTTTTATTATAAATTATAAAATACCAAGAATTGCATAACATTATCAATATTCAATATACTTCTTCTTTTCTTGCCATGAGTTGCAACAGTAAAGGACAACATTTTTTTATTTGGGCCAGGTTATTGATATCGAAATGGACTTAGGATGAGTTTGATGAGCCAATTTCCAGAACAGAATGGCCCGCCCAATTCCTCTTGGACACCAGCTTCAACTTCAGCTGACACGTAATAGAGGGACAAGATTAACTCTTGAACATATTTCAAACAAACTTGATTGAAAAGTTAATCAGACCCACCATGAGTTCTTGCCTGTTTGATTATGTTGTTGATACTCATGAAATGGAAAATCAAAGATGCTTGGAGTTAGTCCAAGTGTGGGCTCTTTGAAGTCATTTAAAATTATTGGCCGGCAACTTTAAGTCAGTCGATATTTTCAATAGAGACAGAAGCCGAGCTGGGAACTACTAATATTGGCTAAATGTAGATTGGATATTTTCTATACAGTTAAAAATTGATATTGTCAACGAAGTTTGATTCCATTTGGGTTAACCATCCATAGGACTCTTTAATTGTTCCATAAATTTCAAGGTCAAGTAAAATAAATGCTTATATAAATTAGACATCTAATCACTTGCCCAACAACATGGTCCAAGAGACATCTCCAACATGAATAGGTATTCTCTCAAAAGCTAATGCATTAATTCATTCAAATTGAGCTTAAGCGTTTTTTAGTTTACATAAGCACTTGATATTCATTATATTACTTCCTTTGACAAAATTTCCCCCCCTTTATTGCTTTAAGAAAAAAAAAAAAAGACGTAAAATTAATTGGTTTAACTTTATCAGGTTAGAAGGAAAGGTGGTAATTATCACTGGCGGTGCCCACGGACTAGGAGCAACGACGGTGCGCCTCTTCCACCAACATGGAGCCAAAGTTGTCATTGCCGACATCCAAGATCACCTTGGCCAGGCCATTACTAAAGAGCTTGGAGAAAATGTTTGCTACATCCATTGTGATGTAACAAATGAAGACGACATCTCCAACCTTGTGGACACCACCATTGCGAAATATGGAAAGCTCGACATCATGTTCAGCAATGCAGGCGTCGTGGACCGTCCATCCGGCAGCATCCTGGACACTCCGAATTCTGATCTTGAACGAGTTATTAATGTCAACACCATTGGAGCGTTTCTTGCAGCGAAACACGCAGCAAGAGTTATGGCGCCGCAACGCAAAGGCTGCATAATTTTCACTGCAAGTCTTTCGACTCCGGCTTGTACATCGATTGCAGGTCTTTCGACTCCGGCTTGTACATCGATTGCAGGTCTTTCGACTCCGGCTTATGCAGTATCGAAATATGGGATATTGGGGCTGGCTAAGAGCTTGGCAGCTGAACTGGGAGGGTGTGGGATAAGGGTAAATTGTGTTTCACCTTATGCGGTTATGAATAGCATTCAAGGTCTCAGTGAAGTAGAAGTAGCAAAAGGTGAAGCGATAATGAGTGCAATAGGGAATCTCAAGGGGAAAGTTCTCCGAGCTGAGGGTGTGGCACAGGCTGCGCTGTATATGGCTAGTGATGAAGCAAATTATGTAAGTGGGTTGAATCTTGTTGTGGATGGTGGTTTCAGCATTGTGAATCCCACCCTGATAATGGCTCGTGACCGTCTGTAATTGAGAAATTCTAGGTATTTGATCTTTACCAATTGTTCTCTTAATTATGCAATATAAGAGCTCTCATCACTAACTCAACAGAGTAAAAGAATTTATCCATCCTTTATCTGTCACATTCTTATTGAGCACAATAAGTGGATGAGTACTTTGTATTTAATATAGGCAATAGTTTCTTTTCTCGAGAATAAATTCTTACATTTAAATTATTCCTAAGATGTATTATAGGGGAAAAAATTTCTTAATTGTCGGTACCAAAAATAAAGGAGCTTATTTAGTAGAGAGAGTTGCAATACGAACTCGTTGTCATTAAGTTAATAAAAAATGGTTTGGTGGTATGTTGACAAATTGGTCCACTGCATAAACAAGACTCAAAAGTTAAGGGATTTGAGAACGGAACAAGAAAGAGGCAGACTCAACCGTCTTTTCACAAGAAGATGCAGCTATGTTGAAAAGAAAATTATCACGCTTGCGAACGTATCTGAACAGGATTAATGTGCGACCTTAGGATACAAAACATGAATTTATTCTACACCAACTTTGAAAGAAAGGCAAAATTCTTAATGATAAATACAATCAAGAATCTGGATACTGAAACATCCCAAGTGTGGGATTGACAGTAGTAAAAGCCCCGTCTATAAAAAGATTTTGTCCACTCACATACTTGGCCTCATCACTTGATAGATAAACAGCTGCATTTGCGACATCTTCTGCTTTAAGTTTCACACCCTTCAGGACACCAAGCGAATGCATTAGATTCTCAAGCTCCTCATCGCTAAGCCCCACAAATTTTGTGGCCAAAGGCGTTGCAAGAGCATAGGGCGACAAGCAATTCACTCTAATGCCGAACTGTCCAAGCTCAACGGCAGCATTTCTCGTTAGCCCCAACACGGCATGTTTTGAAGCACAATATGCATGCGAGGCAGCGGCCGCAACTTTTGAGCTTATGCTCGCAGTTGAAAGGATGCTGCCACTACGAGCTGGAATCATGACACGAGCTGCATGTTTGATGCCAAGGAAAACTCCTGTAACATTTACCCTAAGGACACGCTCAAAATCTGCCTTTTCATTGTCGATTAGGCGTGGTTTGTTTTCATCGGCTATGCCGGCGTTGTTGAACATTACGTCTAGTTTACCATGAGTTGAAACGGTTTGGTCAATGGCGTTTTTTATTTGGGATTCGTCGGTTACGTCGCAATGGACATAAGAAGAGTTTGATGAGCCGATGGCGTCGACTACTGAATGGCCAAGTTGATCTTGGATATCGGCAATTACAACTTTGGCTCCATGCTTGGCAAAGAGTTTAGCTGTGCATTCACCAATGCCACTGGCTCCTCCTGTGATCATGGCCACTTTCCCCTCTAGTCTACACAACACAAATTTTAGATTTATTATGAAAAAACATAAATCCGTTTAGGGAGTAACTCTTGGTTAGAAATTATTTCCCAAAAATGATACTTTGGATCTGAAACAGAGTAACTATCGAGCACAGAATTACTAGATTAAAATAAAATAAAATAAAAAACTGTTTAAAGTAGAAAAATTCTACTATACCAGCTGAGAAAGTCAAGATCAGAACGAACTTTCATGAAAAATGAAATTTTATTGAGGCCTAGGTCACCATCAGACATCAGATTGCAGATTTCTGGAGAACATGCTTGCCTAAATGAATCGATAAATATTGGAAAAATCACTGAATTTGTGTCAATACTGTACACCACTTTACTCACTTTTTCTTGGATAGAAATTATTTCCCAAAAATGATACTTTGGATCTGAAACACAGTAACTATCGAGCACAGAATTACTAGATTAAAATAAAATAAAATAAAAAACTGTTTAAAGTAGAAAAATTCTACTATACCAGCTGAGAAAGTCAAGATCAGACGAACTTTCATGAAAAATGAAATTTCATTGAGGCCTAGGTCACCATCAGACATCAGATTGCAGATTTCTGGAGAACATGCTTGCCTAAGTGAATCGATAAATATTGGAAAAATCACTGAATTTGTGTCAATACTGTACACTACCTTACTCACTTTTTCTTGGAGGAAAATTATTATAAAAATTTACAACATAATTAAAGAAATTCAAACACTGATATAAAGATTATGAGGAGATTAAAACTTGATTTGGGTTGTTTGATTTTCTGACCTTCTTGTTATTGCAGAGAGAACAGATGTTGTTGCCATCGTCAAGAGGAGAAGGAGACCTTGGAAAGTTGAATGAATTATATTTCCAAGTATACCTATTTAAATTTGCAAAGCCAATTCGACGTGAAATGGGGTTATTTTATAATATTATAAAGCAGCAGATGCTCAAAATTTGGTATACAGGTGGTTGGCTGGCCGAATGCCTGAATCTATGTTAAAATGGAACAGCTAATAATGGCTTTTCATTATCGATAAGTAGAATACTAAATCTTATTGGGGCCAGAACATTATGATAGTTTATTTATTTATTTATTTATTGTTGTATATGTTTGTATATATAACATTTCAATGCAGACAAAATCACATGAGTTTGGAATCACTTGTATTAGGCAAAGGGTATATTTGCAGGATTTAGAGTCAATTCTCACTCAACAAAATTTGATTCCAATATGGATTAGGGTATCTTTAAGGTAGCTCTTCAAGAGTGTTACTCAGATTATTAAATCGAATGGGATAATATCGAGAATTTCCCCACCTACTTTTCCATGAAATGAGAATCCACCTGTAGACTCTATTTGGGCATACCTTAAACAAGCAGCCTACCACCGACTTGCTATCACCTATCTTTCCCTCCTCCTACTAAGGCAGACACTGAGCCCAAGGAACACGCTTTCTCAAGCGTGGTCCGCCCTTCATGCTCCGCTGGGCTCATCCTATATGCTGCTGCCCGGTTAGGTAGCGTGGAACCGGAGATTAGGTCAATTGGGTGTTGGATGTCCCCAATAGGAGGTAACTATTTCAAGCCAAAAGAAAGAGTTATTAAACACATCCTCTTGTGTGATCAACACATGTTGAGGTTCTTAATGCCATACACGTGTACTAGTGAGTCTCAGATGGAATATTGTATTTAAATGGATTGTTGAAAGTTGATATTTTATGTTATAAGTCTAAAAAGTAGTTGCTTATTGAGAATGGTTCCGCAGCTTTTCTTTGAATGTTAAGAGCGTGTTAAAAGTTGGATTTGACATCTCAATGACCTGTTTTATCCTTCGTTGATATGGAAAGTTCAAAGTCTCCTCTAGAGTAGTTTCTATTAAAAGTCTTTGAACTTTTATGACAAAGTTGAAATTAATATATATTTGGCTTTCTTAAGTTGTTTATTGGTTTTAATTTATGTGCGTATGGAGGATTACCTCCCATCGGATATTGACTCCTTTTAAGTTTTTGTTATGTTTATATTTTCTGTTTTATATTTTAAATTTTATTTTATATTTAATGTGTGGGTCTTGCGCTATCCTTATCATTTGAGGTGATATTACACATCCAAGAGGTTAAACTTGTGCACATGGAATCCTCTTCAGCTTTATCTACGTTTACTGCTCCCATAAATACTAGCTTATTTAGATCTTTTTCTAAAGTAGATAGTTTGTATGAAATATCTTATATCCTAAAAAATCAAAAAATCCAAGATACTATCCCTCCCATTGTAAATCCTTATACAGTCTTTTCCAAGTCTTCGTTTTCTTTGTCTAAAACCTTTAAGACTCTTGTTAGACCTTCCAAAAAGCCAGTCAAAGAGTATGTCCAGGCTAGTACTTTTGACAAGTGTCAAATTCCAGCCACAACCCAAGAACAATATGTCACTTTGGAAATCCCTCAAGAATCTATTACTCAATGGATTCGCGAAGGATACTCGCATGTACACTTTGGAGCTATCCGGCTGGCTCTATCTGATCATGGCAGAAAATGACTCTCAGTCTCTGTCTGAATCGCTTTGTTGGACACCAGATTTGTCCAATATCAACATGCTTGTATAGGGACGACACAGACAACTTTGAATGCTGGGACAATCATTATGACACTGTTTCCTAATTTCAATATGTCTCTTTTGGATGTTCATTGTTCCAAAGCTCTTAAAGTTCAATTACAGATCATTGGTGCATATTTAAATCCAGGAAGTATTGCAGCTACTTTGCATTATCAGATGGTTTGGCGAATCCAAGACCATGCTCTTGATCTCGCTATCCCTACGACTACTGATGCATTGCTCCTTACTGTTGACTCTTACAATACTCCTCACTGCATCAATATTCCTGTGCAAATTTCCAGAGATGATTTGATTAAATTGTTACCCGACTCTTGGGTGACAAGTTATGAGTCTCTTAATAAAAAAGAAACTCCGGTGGTTTCTACAAAATCTACCATGCATGATAACAGTGACAGAACAACAACTATCAGATTTAAGTCTCCAGGAACTCCCAGTGCTCCACCTTTGAGTTTCGACAAACTCAATTCATGATTATTCCAGTCTTACCAGCTATAGTAATATCGGAATCTGGACTTTCCGTTCATTCATTTCAACAATCTGGTGCTCCAGTCTATCATCAATTTGATCTGGTCACTGGTCACACTCCATTTGATCTTGACTACCAATGCTCGGCTTGTCGTGATGATCCTATTTGGGAAATAGATGAGTATTTTCTTTCCAAACGAAATTATTTCAGACGGAAAAAACAGATAGCTCGGTGCAGTAAAAAAGATCTTCACTCCAGATTGAAGACCATGATCCTGAAGTTGGCCTTATTGGTCAACCATCTGGTAAATTTGACTATTATGTCAAATATTCTCCTCCAGCCAGGACAGATCCACCATCCATGAATCCTTCTTCGGAAATCCCTTTGAAACCTAAACCCAAATCACCTTTAAAACTATCCAAACCTGCTAAATCACCTTACTTTAAACAACCTTTACCATGTTATCAGTAGGCTCTCCAGCGGATTGCAAAAGAAAACAAACCAACCCATTCACCTCTGGTTCATACTCCACCTGTCTAGTCCATTATGATGATTCAATCCCTTGAACCTCAAAAGACATGACAACATTTTAATTATGACACAGACTTTCCTTCTCTTAAGGAAACTGCAACTCAACAACCAAAAGTGGTTCCTTCCAAAGTTATACAGCCTGATGGATCCACGCCAAAACTCTCCCAGGCTGAAGCAGTTCTCAATTGGCAGACTGAAAATGCTTTAGCCCAAAATAAAACCATTACCAGGATTGAACAAAAACTAGATCTAATAGCTCATCAGGTGGACTCTCAATCTCAAAACCACACTATGCTGATTTCTCGGTTACACAAACAGATTGATCATCTCCAAAACCGGATTAATCAGCTCCATTAGGAATTAATGCATATTGTCAGTACCTTTCATGGTTATTCAGCTCAATTTCTCTAGAAGGAAGCAGAAATGAAGTCACTAAAAACCCAAATGGCATCGCTTCAGCAGGAATATCTTAAGCAAAAACTCAAACAACCACAGACTTTCCCTAAAATGCCTTTGGTACCAAATCCTTTTGACTCCTCAACAGCATGGCCACAACCCTCTTTTTCACCTTTCCCAAAAATTAGTCAACCTTTGGTCTCACCTCATATATCTTCTGGTGTTGTTCAAGCTTTTGGAAACACTGAACAGTTATATGCCAAACTCTGCAAAGAACGTGATGAAAAGATCAAGCTGGAACGGGAACAAAAGAAGCGAGAAAAATATTCTACTAAACCGCAAACCCCATTTGCTAATATACCTGACTCTTTCTCTTCTAGTCATTCAAATCCTCCATCTCCTAAGTCTCATCGTCCTTTAACTAAGGATAAGGCTCTAATGCAAATAATGATGATGGAAGACCGCCAACCTTCTGCTAATCCTGACTCTTCAGAAAATCCTGTCTCTTCCAATTTTATGAGCTCTTTTTTAAGAGACATGGCAGAAAGGCAACGTCTTGCAGCTTCGGGTATTTCTCAAGATTCTATATCCACCTTCCAAACAAAATCAGAAGCTGATACAACTTCGACTAATGAATCATTTGACAGTGGCTTTGACTCTGAAAGTTATACTTCTGATCAACATCCTAATGTTTATCCCCAACTGATGACCTATCAACCCGAATCGTCAAGACCACCTATTGTTTCTGAGGTCGATGATGAGACGCCTGAAGGTGATGATCCCATTCTAGACTCTCCACCTATGTATCGACAATCCCGTCATACTACAGCTGAGCGTGACTCTTATACAGCTTCAGCAAAGCTCCACACTTTTACTATCGATGATCTTCCTCCACACAAATGGAGAACTCGGATGTATGAATTTCAAGCCTGGTTACAAGCTGAGATGCTGAAACCTAATGCCCAAGTCTCTACTGTACTTACACAGTTTACAACTAGATTTGGTGGCATTCTCCATGATTGGTGGATAAGTCTTCAAGAGTATAGGCAAAATTTGTTCATCCAAATGTTAGATATTAACCAAGCTCTGTATCTCCTATATGATGAATTGTGTGGATTACCTCACCTTTATGAGAACCAGGTTAGAGAAGAATATTTTAATATGCGATGTTGTTCTCTAAAAAAGAAAGATCTTGATAGGCATTACAAAGAGATGGTAAAAAGATATCATATACTTAGGGGTATGGATGATCCTAACATAAAGCAAGCCTTTTTGGCATCTGTTCCAGAATCCCAAAGTCATGAAGCAACCAAGCTTATGCAGTCTCAGAACAAACAACTTGGATCCACTTCTCTTGGCGAAATTTATCAGTTTGTTATTCTTGCTCTGGAAAAGCTCTATTCTCAAAAACAATTTTTTGACAATTATCTGAAGCGTTCTAAACTGCTGACAAAAGTTTGTCAAAGACTAGACTTGCAGATCAAATGCAAATCCGATTGCTCATGTTCTTGTCCTACCAAGAAGAAGTTTCATTCCAGACGCATCGAGATTTCTCCACCTAATGCTCTGGCCAAACAAAGATTTCGACATTTCAAGCACCGCTAGTTTCTTCGGAAAAGGAAACGCAAAGGCAAACGCTCTAATCGGTGTTATTTGTGCAACCACCTGGGTCATTTTGCCAAAAATTGTCCAAACAAGCCCAAGCAGTCAGCCAAAATGATGCAACAACTTTCTCAACTCACAGATATAGATTTTTCTGATGATAATATTGAAAGTTGGTTTTCAATGGATGAAGAACCCACTTCAGACACTATTTTCCAGTTTACAACGACTGATACTAAGTTCTCTAATTTAGATGATTGTCACTATTTCTATCATATTCAACAAGCACCACAATCCTTTCCATCATTAGTCTTCTGATGTCACATACCTACAGCAAAAGTTCAGATCTTTCCCACTACATACTCTAATCC